TAAGGTTAGTTTTGTTTACAAACATTAATTATACCATGAAGTATTCTTTGGCAATTAGTAATGGCAATTATAGCGTGAAGTTTTCTTTTGTAATGTCAATTATAGCGTGAAGGAATGTGAGGTAAGGTTAGTTTTGTTTACAAACATTAATTATACCATGAAGTATTCTTTGGCAATAAGTAATGGCAATTATAGTGTGAAGTTTCTGGTGATTTTTCCTAGTGTACTCCTCCGGTTTACTCCTCCTGGTTTAAAAACAGAGTATAGTGCTAGAAGTAATACTACACCTAGAATTAGAAAGTATCGGATTTAGCCATGCGTCTTCAGACTCTTGTGTTCAGTCTTCTGAAGAGAGTCAACTCGAGAATACTCTCTGAGAGTTATAAGTAACATTAATGTCTTGAAACGTAAAATTTGAGATTAAGACATTTCTCGGTTTGTAGCTAAACATTTATACCAATTGGATTGAAATTGTTTGTGGATTATGTTTTTTGGGTTTATTATGATTGTTTTTTCTTAATAACACTTCCCCCCATCGTTTCTACTTTTTCAGTTATAAATGACATTGTTGTCTTTAAACGTAAAATTTGAGATTAAGACATTTCTCGGTTTGTAGCTAAAAATGTATACCAATTGGATTGAAATTGTTTATGGATTATGTTTTCTGAGTTTATTATGAATGTTTTTTCTTAATAACACTTCCCCCCATCGTTTCTACTTTTTCGGTTATAAATGACATTGATGTCTTGAAACGTCAAATTTGAGATTAAGACATTTCTCGGTTTGTAGCTAAAAATTTATACCAATTGGAATGAAATTGTTTATGGATTATGTTTTTTGGGTTTATTATGAATGTTTTTTCTTAATAACACTTCCCCCCATCGTTTCTACTTTTTCAGTTATAAATGACATTAATGTCTTGAAATGTAAAATTTGAGATTAAGACATTTCTGGGTTTGTAGCTAAAAATGTATACCAATTGGATTGAAATTGTTTATGGATTATGTTTTTTGGGTTTATTATGAATGTTTTTTCGTAATAACACTTCCCCTATCGTTTCTAGTTTTTGAGTTATAAATGACATTAATGTCTTGAAACGTCAAATTTGAGATTAAGACATTTCTCGGTTTGTAGCTAAAAATGTATACCAATTGGATTGAAATTGTTTATGGATGATGTTTTCTGAGGTTATTACGAATGATTTTTCTTAATAACACTTCTCCCGATCGTTTTTAGTTTTCAAGTTATAAATGATATTGATGCCTTGAAACGTCAAATTTAAGATTAAGACAATTTTCGGTCTGTAGCTATAAATTTATACCAATTGGATTGAAATTGTTTATGGATTATATTTTCTGAGTTTATTATGAATGTTTTTTTTAATAACACTTCCCCCCATCGTTTCTACTTTTTCAGTTATAAATGACATTGATGTCTTGAAACGTAAAATTTGAGATTAAGACATTTCTGGGTTTGTAGCTAAAAATTTATACCAATTGGATTGAAANTTCGTCTAGTATTTGACCATTTGGTCAAACACTAATTTTTAATTAAATTTAGAACTACTAGTCTTTGACCGCCTTTATTTTAACAAATAATTAATTAAAGCGGTAATTTTTTAATACAACCAATAAAAAACATTATTAAATCACTGGCAAACAAAAAAAAACCACCATACATGCAAAAATGGCTGAATAATACGACCTTGTTTAGGCGAATTTCTAAACATAAAAATTACCATTTTTAGCACGATGTGAGTAGGCCGGCAGTTAGCGCAAATTAAACAACAAGAACTCAAGAACGGTATGATCGTAGACTTTTTGCGTAGTAGGAGGTGGAGAAGAGACTGGTGGCTATTTGTGGACAGATTTATTTTTTTTTATATATTCCTTGGAACCTTATTTTTAAATTTTTTTTACAAAAACGGTCAAACACTGACCAACGGTCAATTACTGGCTTTTTACCCTATGTTCATCTGTTTCTGACTCGTTGTTGCAAAGTCGACAAGTTCGACCGTTAACTTGTCCAATGTGGAAGAGGTGGTATTTTAGGGCCAGGAAACATGAGAGCGTCCTTAGATACCCTGTGCTGAGGCATAAAACCTCAAATTCAGGAATAGTGCCATACTGGTTACCCAATTTATACAACCCATCATCATTACATTCAAGTACAACCATTAAAACATTGGGGAAGTCGCCTCTACCTCTGTCAACGTCAGGAATTTTCTGACGTTTTTTCTGATACCTATTTTGCACACAGGAAACTTTTTGTTCGATAATTCTGTCATTTTATTTGCTTGTACTATGTCTTGTATTTGTAATGAATTTTTTGTGCCTATCTATTAGTATCTATTGTCTGTCGTTTCATACATAGGTCACATTTTCCATTTTTGTTTTGATTACAAAGCTCACAACCTGTTCTTTTTTCTGCTGCTTCTCCTACAGACTCTTTCTCGTTTACATCTGTAATTGTTTCAACATCATTTCTGTCTCCCTCCAACATCTTACGAATTTGTTCCAAGTGTTCCTCGTTTTCTATATTTTCAACTATCTCAGTTGAGGACTGTCTCAAGATCTTAGGCTTGCTTTTACATCACAACCGAACATAGCCTGGTAAGGTGATCTTTTAATTCCATGATGATAGGTTCTATTTTTCATAAGTTGTACAAATCTAAGTCCTTCTGACCACATTTGCAGTTCTCGTCTTCCATCCAAGTCATCAGCATACTTTGAACATATTGATTGGCACGTTCGACACTGCCCTGTCGTTTCCGTGCATAATTTTCAGACCTGACCACATTTGCGTTAAACTTTCCACAACTCGATTAGCGAATTCCCTGCCAGTGACAGACTGGAGTATTGAAGTTGATTAAAATATACAAAATATGTCTAAGAGTATCTTCGATACTTCTTCAGCAGTTTTACTTTGTACAGGACGTAGCTGTATGAATTTAGTGAGGTGGACCTGATAAACTAAAATAAGCTTGAAATTTCCGTCAGGATTTGTTTGCATGTCTATTAAGTCTACCTGACACCGACTATTGACAAGCACTCCATTCTTAGGGTATTGAAGGTTAATTGGTCTGTGTGCCTTGGGCTCGGCGTTTGAACGCCTACCACCTTTAGGCCTTTAGGTATGAAGACCACCTTTACTTTTCTCCATAGTGTAGGTATATAGCTGAAGCTATAGCTTGTCCGTAAAGTAACGGATATAGGCGATAAAATCATTTTAAACGGTTTATGGAAAAATCCCTGAAACGGGTCTAAAGATTTAAATTTTTTGCAACTGTTTGGTGTAGATTTTAAATTTCTTCCGCCATTTTTAAGCGAGTTATGACGTCAGCGGTATTTTTTTCAAATGGCAATCCCCCATTTTTATTAGGGAATATGAAAGAATATTTTTTTCTGAATCTAGTACAGTCAATATTAATATTGCTTACATAAGAAAATTTTCGAGAAAAATTACTTTAAAGTTTAACTACTTCAGATTTGTTGACATGATGACAATACATGAAACAATTTCCTAAGTGTCAAAAACTGATTTAGTAAGTAGTTGACCTCTTTAATACAACATATCCTGATCGCCAACTCATTAGCCTAAGTATGGTGAGCCTAGCTGTGACTAAATTTAAACAGCATGGCCATCTCTCGAAGTCTGGCCTACTAAATGTTTCAAGGGAAGTTCAACAAATCGAGGTTTTGGCTGGGTAAGAAAACCCTCATGTTACTGTAAGGAGTATTGCGTCTAATTTGGACATTAGTAAATCAACGGTTCATAAAATTTTAAAACCCGTAAAATATCATTCCCATAAAGTAAACCTGATTCACGAGCAATGAATTGTAGTTTTTGCAACGATGACGCAGACTTTGTCAAAAACATAATTTTTTCGACGAAGGGACATTTACATTGAGTGGACAAGTAAATAGACAAACTTGTCTGTATTGCGCTACCGAAAAACCAAATTAGCCAAGGAAGTCGCACACCCAATATCCGCAAGAGAGTCTTAGTGATGAAACCTTAAGTGGAAAGAGATGTTTAAATTTTTTCAAAGCGATGTCATTCCTTCCATGTCGATAATGTTGACACAACTCAATTCCAACCGCATTTATTCCAACAAGATGGCGCGCCACCACACTTCAAGAAGCTTTACTAAATCAGTTTTTGACACTCAGGGAATTGTTTACAATAATTGGTTGCCATAGTTACTCATGGCTATTGCTATTTTTATCATTATACAAATTTGAAGTAATTTTTTCTAACTACTTTAAGTAGTTTTCATAACTCGTTTAAAAATGGCGGAAAAAATTTGAAAACTACACCAACAAATTGCAAAAAATTTTAATCTTTAGACCCGTTTCAGGGATTTTTCCATAAACCGTTTATTATGATTTTATCGCCTATATCCGTTACTTTACGGACATACTGTATAGGGATATTATTACTGGGAGCACATCTGTAGAATAAAAAAAATTAATATATATATTTTTTTTTTTTTTAGGAAGTGGATATTCCTCGTGTTGTTGGTTTATTAAGACATCAAAGGGCTTACATGGTACAAACGATAGCCCAATATCGATTTGTTTATTCATTATTAATTCATTATTTAAAGCAAACAAGGCTTATTTAAGAAAAAAAATTAAACATAAAATTTATTAATTAATTTAAAGTATATATGAACAAATTTTTGATTTCAATCGAATTAAAACATTTAAGGCAGCTACTTTAAATGAGAAAGAACAAATTTTAACAAAATAATCAACTAATAACGAACACTTTATTACTGAAGGCTGTGTATTATAAAATAACTGCAACTGAAACCGTCGATTAAAATTCCATTGTGATTAAAATTAAGTGCCTTTTTCACATTACAACAAAGATTAGTTATTGAATTTTTAAATGGTATTAATGAGGCAACTTTGAAACTTTATTTAATAATTGCTGCTGTTGTGCAGTTTTAAATATATTTAAGTACTAAAATAATTAAAGTTTTAATTATGTATAAAATTAAAATAACTGTGTGTAAATCAAAAAAGTATTAAAATTATTGATGTGGTATTATTTAATTTCCATTAAAAAAATAACAAATTTATTTGGGTACATTTTATTCATTATGTTCTACAAAATATAGGATGAAAATTTAAAAAAAAAAACGTATCTGTGTTACACCTCTATGAATAACTTATGTATTCAACCGAGAGAAATAACAGTTGAAAAAATTTATAATAAAAAAACAAATTGAAATACACATTTACAAGAATCTTTCATATATATTAAGAGAATCTCGAACATTCGAACAACAAATTTTTCTTATTTACTTTTAATAGAAAAATATTTTTTTCCAAAACAAATATAAGCAAACTTATCAGAACTTCAGAATACTTAATCCGTTGCTACATATCATAATAATAATAATATATTTCATAATTTTTCTTCCATAATTTCAACATGTGTATTTACAATAATCCTTAAAAATTAGACGAAAAATAAAATAAAAAAAACGTTGCGATAATCTTAACCGTTTACAAAAAGGATTTGGGATGAGAGGAAATAGAACGTTTTTAACTCAGCACCAAGAATTAAATATAGTTATACAATTAACGTTCTGAAGAAACCGTAAAATCAAAACATTTTTTTACAACATATTGTGTCTCCTTCCTTTCAACTTCGCAACCAAATTGCAAATTTTTAACGCGGGACCTAACTTTAAACCCATATATTTCATCATCATATCGGAGTTTAATAAAAGCAGCGCTTTCCCATCAATTTCCTAAAATCATCAAAATAAATATTAAAAAGTAATAAATAATAAATAAATTTCAATCTTACATGCTTCCTAAATAAATCAGCATGAGTCCCAAGACATGGGTCGGTACACTCAATAAACTGTATAACTTCCTCAATCCCCCATTCTTGAGTCGGCGTCCTATTTAAAGCCGTTAACGGTGACTCAACTATCGAAGCATCAGTAACAGTTGTTGAAGTCGCAGCTTCTTGTTCCGCTTGTTTACGCTTAGCAGGGGGTGGTTTTGAAACGCAATTCTTACATTCAATGTTTGAACGCTGCAAAGCTAGATTAAGACAAATTTATTAAGAAAAGAAATTGTTTTTAAATAATTTTTTATTTATATATTTATCGCTCAAGAGCGAATGTGCTTTGCGATCGTGCGTCAAGTGTTAAGTGCTTTTTTTTCGCCTAATAGTGCGAATATAAACATACTAATAATATAATAATATGAGTGAAATAAATACAAATAATTAAATAGTTCAATAACATGGAAAAGTTTACTTCAAAAACGGATATGGATTCCCTAAAAAAGGAAAACCCATATTTCGCCCTACTTAAAAAATAAATCGAACAAATAAAGGAGTAACGCACTCAAGATAAAGCTGTTCTGTAGAAACAAATAGATGACCTGAAGGATTATAGAAGGTCTAAAAACCCAACAAAATCTTAACCCTCCAGTAACCACCAAAGTGGTGTATACCACAGAGAAAGATGAGTTAGCTTTAGGGACTGACTGGATAATAAAACAAGCTGAAAGAAACAAAAAACCTAAAACTATACGAGCCCAATTGTTAAAATACAAAACAAAAGAGTTTCTTCCTTTATACATCTTGGATTTTGCACCGTCAGAAGATGTAAAAAGAATCCATGAAATAACAAACATATTAGGAATGCGTGTCAAAATCGAAGAGTACAGAATATCCAAACAAATTCCCAGTGCAAAAGGTGTCAAGGTTGGAGCCACACCAAAGGTTACTGCCACAAAAATCCGAGATGTGTTAAATGCGCTGGTGAACACTGAACCAGCAAATGCACTAAAGCCAAAGAAATCCCGGCTAAATGTTTCAACTGTGGAGAAAATCATTCAGCGAAGTACCGAGGATGCATTGACCTTACTGACGATGCCAGTACTGATTATTCTCTGGGGAAGGCAAAAAGAAACCTTAAAGTTCCAAAAACACATACACTAACTCCAATTCGAGAAAAAAGTAGAAAAAGTTAATTTGTTTGCTGAACATCTGAAAGATTTAAATCAGACAGTCCTAGAACTATGTTAAATAGTCTCGCTAGCATAATTCAAAGTGATCAGCAGAGTAATATACCATGTGTAAGAATAAAAAAACTTTATTATGCAATACAAAAACTGAATATAAAGAAATCAATAGGCTATGACCTAATTAATGGAGAAACATTGAAACATCTACCAAAACGGGCGATTACAAAACTATTGCACATAATTAATGCTGCTTATAAACAGAGATACTTTCCAAGTATATGGAAAGTTGCTGAAATAATAATACCATAAACAGATGTTACATCATACAGGTCAATCTCATTATTAGCCTTACTATCAAAACTACTTGAAAAATTACTATTAAAAAAACTAAAACCTGTCATAGAAGAAAAAGCCCTAATACCAACAGATCAATTTGGGTTTTGGAATCAACATGCAACAAAATGACCAAATGCAAAGACTAACGAATACTATCGAAATAGCAATGGAAGAAAATAAAGTCTGCTCCGCCGTAATTTTGGATTTTGCAGTTGGATGTCAACTATTAAAATCGTATCTTTCTGATCGATATTTTAGAGTAAAATACGAAAACGCTTATTCATCACTACATGAAATACAAGCCGGTACACTGTACTTACTCTACACATTCGACCTTCCTCAGATACCAGAAACTTTAACAGCTACATTCGCAGAAAGTTGCAACAGTTTTAGCTGTTGCAGAAAATGAAGTAGTTGCAGCAAATAAGTTACAATTGGCCTTAAATTCAATAGAAAACTAGACCAAACGATGGCTAATAAAATTAAATACAATAAATCGACATACATAAATTTTACTTATAAGAAAGTAAACCTATGTCCCAGTACACATAAATGGCAATGCAGTATGGATGCCAAACTCAAATGGAAAGCTCATGTGTAAACAAGATAAGATACCAAGAAGACAAGAACATTATGGGGGTTAATAATAAATTTAAAAAAAACGTGACGAACTTGATATCAAATTTAAACAACTATATTAGCAGAAAATCAACGTTATCACGAAGAAACAAGTTGCTAATATACAAGAAAGTATTAAAACCAAAATGAACATATGGAATCCAACTGTGGGTTTGTACTTGCAATACAAATGCAAGTCTGATTCCAAAACAAAGCACTAAGGTGCAAAGTGAATGCATCTAAACATGAGAAAAGAATGCACGATCATCCCAACATCGAGGTCATTCTGCTTCTCGACAACGAGGATGTCCTGTGCCGCCTTCAGAGGATGAAGCCGTTCGATGTAGTGACCTAGTGCCCTAGTCGATTCAAACGCGAGCAAGTGTTTAAAAAAAATACTAAAAATACGACAATATTGATCTAGGTTATGTGTAAAGCAGACTAGACCATTGAGAAAAGCTGCAAAACATTATCTTGTTTAATTTTGTGTAATGTCAAAAATAAGTAACTATACTCTATTTTTTAATTCGGAGAAGTAAAATGAAAAGTCATATTTACACAGTGTAATTTTTCAAAGCTATTTTTTGGCGGGAGTTTTAAAACCAAACAGGATTTTAAGTAAACTGTACCTACTTACATTGTCCCACATAAAATGCAACATGTCAATATAATTTGATATTACATTAAAACCTCCATATAACGGATTAATACGGGGAAGGCAGCGTCCGTTATAGTTCAATAAAAACATACAATTATCTACCGCTGAATAACAAATACAACTAAACTAATACTAGCACTAGAACTAACACTAGAGCTAGAACTAGAAACATTCCGTTCAGCTGTACCTCTCTTAAGACGGCGCTAGTTAGCATAAAATATCACTATCTTGCATATTTTTATAGATATTTGGATACTTTCTAGTTCTAGGTCTAGTGTTAGTTCTAGTTTTACACTAGCAATATAACTAGCCGTCTTGAGAGACGAAAGTACTGGCAGTAAAAATGTACTGCATGTAAAGTATTCAGTACTTTTTTTACTTTAAGTAGTTTACTGCCAGTACTTTCAAATTGTAGGTACACTTAATACTTGTACTTTCAGTATTTAGCTTATAGTGTACTGGATACTTGTTACTTGTTTGACGTAAGTAGTACTTGAAGAACTATTTGTTTACTCCAAGTAGTTTATCAACTTCCAGTACTTTCAATAAGAAGTAAAATGACAATTTTTTAAAGTTTTCTTATACTTAACTTTTATCATCATATGAATATTATACTTTATATACTTAACAGTGATAGTTTACCATTAACCATTCACTACATAGTGTTCGATTCATTCCTACTTCCCCTCCCATCTCTTTACTATTTCAAAATTTAAATTATGCAATTAAAAAAATAATTCGAAGTTTGTATTTTTGATGTTTCAATAATTTTTGATAGTTGCGGTCAGAGAAACGTGTTTAATCTTGTAGGTGTTGGCGAATGGCCGGCGCAACGTCGACGCGAGTCGTTTATTTCAAGTTAGTACAGTAGTTATTAAATAATTAACAAAAATTCATTTTGTTCTATCTAAAACTAATGTATGTATTTAAAAGTTAATGTTGCTATGGTGATAACCATGCATACTATGATGGAACATAATATATCAAATAATTGTCAAAGTTTGTATTTAAAAATTCGATAACAACTCTGGCATTATATGCTGGTAGGATGCACAAGCATGTTAAGTGTCAAAGTATAACAAAACTGAATAAAACTTTACAATGAATTTCGAAAATTATGAAAAATGTAACATGATGGAATGCTATATGTTATCAGATAAGAATGCGACGTTAGCCGCGGAATTTTATTTCACAAGATATCCAGAAAGAAGACAACCGCACGTAAGAACCTTCAGCCGGTTAGCAGAAAATTTAATAGATATTTGGTCCTTCCCCAAACCACATACAAAAACATACCAAAATGACCTGCAAGAGAAATTGCAACAAGACGTCTGACCCAAAAGCCGTTGCTCCCGAATATGAAAGAAAAATAAGTATAAACCATACAAAGCGGGGCTAACTCCTTATTTACGTGCCGGAGATGTCAATCGAAGATTAGAATTTTGTAGATGATATTTAGAAAAATTAAATAGTCTGCTGTTTGTTCAAAATGTTATCTGGACCGAAGAAGTCTCTGAGTGTTCAAAGAAGCTTGGGGTTCAATGTATGGTGTGCCCTTTTAGATAATAGAATTTTGCCATATAGTATCTACCATAAAAACTTAAACTCAGAGAAATACCTCAATATATTAAGGCAGCACTTGAGCCTTTGGTCGACAATTTGGCACTAAATATGTCTCAAATGATATATTTTCAATATGACGGAGCACCAGCACATAATGCCAGAGTTGTTAGTGAATTTTTAAATACTACTACAAACTCAAGGACAGTAGAATCTAACAGGACTGCTACATCCATTGTTGTGACAGCCTACCCGCAAACTACGTCACACCATTTTCCACGCCCAGCTGTTGTTATGGTCTATGCGTTTGCTATGTGTTTTTAGAGGTTATATCCTAGATATTAGCTTTGTTCGTTGGGACTGCACTACTTGCACTCACTTGCACAATGCAGTTTAGTGCAGATGTTGTGTGTTCGTTGGGGATAGTGCAGTTTAGCGCAAGTGCACTCATACTGTTCGTTGGGCCAGGTACAGTGCAATTTAGTGCAGCCGGTGCAAAGTGCAGATTTTGTTGCACCTGCTTTCGATTAAGTTCAATAAGTGCAGTTTATAAAATATTCGGAATATTTGAAAGCGTGTTTTGTAATAATTAATATTAATATTAAATATTAAGAAATAAAACCTTATAATAATTAATATTTGTTGTATTAGAGAACACAGTACATTAAACCCCAGTAGAAGCAGTAGAAAACTACTTTTTTGGAATAATTTAAAAACTACCCTGTCGATTTGGCATCATTAAATACACTTAAGGTGAGTTTAGACATGCATGGATTTAGTGGTGCCAGTAGTTGCGCCAGTTCTACTTGCACGCCAGTAAAGGTTTACATTACATGTGCCACTAGCGTGGCACATAATAAGTGACACGCCAGTTTCATTTTTAAAGTGTACCACAACTATATACACAAATTAGGACCTCAACCGAAACGAAAATAGATATATTCTAGGTTTAAGGTGGATAATTATACGTTATCGTTGAATGTGTTAACGTTATTGGGATTTAATTTGAATGCAATGAAACATAACCTAAATTTGACATTAAAAAATGTTGTATTTTTGTGGACACTCACCTATGTTGCCATGGTTACATGTTTTAGACTCATCACTGGCGCCAGTAATTTCAGAAGGGTGCAGACTTTTCCGATCCATGCATGCATGGTTTCAACTTGCATGCCAGTTGATGTTTACACATGCAATTTAATTTTAATGGCGCGCCAGTTTTTATTGGCGCCACTAAATCCATGCATGTGTAAACTCACTATTATAGTACATTTAAAAATATTATGTGTTTTTTCTCATTTAGGGGTGGCTGGGGTTAACTACCCTCACCACCCCAAATTTTTTTTTTGCAATTACTGCTTATCAATTTTGGTGCAATTTAGCATGTGATTTCTTTATACGTTAAGTAGTACTTTTGAAAGAACTAATAAGGGTTAGTAGTTTGGTATAGAAAATATATTTCGCTAATAATTGAAAAAAATAAAAAATAATTATAATTGATGAATACTAAAAAAACGCTACTAAAAAAACATTCTGCGATAATTTCATTTTCCACGAGTATTTCGCTGACAATCTCCTGTTCGTCCATTTCAAATATTATACACTTTTTTTATAAAAATCTGTTCGTTGGGACCACACTTTTCTGACCTGCACTAAGTTGACATGACATTGCACTGACTTACACTTCATTGCACTATGACGTCATACGAGTGCCATGTCGTGCAGAGTAGTGCAGTCCCAACGAACAAAGCTATATTCATATTAGTTTTGAAGTTTTATGTTTTTAGACGTATTAACCCTTTCGTTACTAAGAGCGTACGCATACGTTTTTGTATATGTGGGCTTGCTATATGATCTTGAAAATACTCCGTAACGAAAGGGTTAATGTCTATCATATAACCTCTAAAAACATAGACAGTTACCAGGCGTGGCAAATAGTGTGACGTAGAGTGCGGGCAACCAACCCGTAGTCGACTACAAAAATACAATGGATGTAGCAGTCCTGTTAGATTCTACTGTCCTTGCTACAAACTTTGGCAATAATTGGAAACAATGCTTTCCCTCATGGTATGGTTATCACCATAACAACATTAAGTTTTAAATACATACAATAGTTTTAGAAAGAACAAAAAAAATTGATACATTATATTCCATCATAGTATGTATGGTTATCACCATAGCAACATTAACTTTTAAATACATACATTAGATTTAGATGGAACAAAATGAATTTTTGTTAATTATTCAATAACTATAAGAAATATACCCCACAAACTATATATATTTGTTATCAGAAGAAAATAACAAATTATTTTAAGTCATAGCCAACTATGGTTTCCATTTAAAAAAATAAAGTTACGTCTAAAATCTCGAAAATAAAAGATGGGAAAAAAATTCTACCTACGCCACTGAATTCTTCGTAAAAAGTTGCCCATATAATGTTTTATTTATAATACTCCATCTTTGATAATAAGTGAGATATTCGCGATTGTCGTTTTTGCAAAATTTTCAGTTTTTGCCGATAGGGCGAAAACAAAAGACGATAGCTGTTCGGAGTTTTCGGCATTAGCATTTTCTCGAAAAACGAGATCATGACATGTAAGCTACTTTTTTTCTATCTCTTTTAGTTTCGGAGATAGCCTATGCGGACATCGAAATTGGGACACCTGTACTTGTAACAGCTCTGAACTAAAACTAGAACCAACATTAGACCTAGAACTAGAAAGTGTCTGAAGACGCACGGTTAAACCCGATATTTTCTAGTTCTAGGTCTAGTGTTAGTTCTAATTTTACACTAGCACTACCACCAGATCTAACACAAGACCTAAAATCATTTGGGTTTAGCCATACTGAGAGACGTGCGGCTAAACCCGAAAGTTTTTAGGAGGCCGGTAACATCTCGAATTGTCCTAGTGTAATTTTTGCTTAAAACTGACCAATGGCAACCCTTCTTTTAGCGCTTCAATTTGAAAACACCCCTCTTAATTAAAAAATAGAGTATAGTCGATTCAAACGCGAGTAATAGTGCGGAATCATAACAAAAACAGTAATAATCAAAACGTGTGTTCCGCCTATCGCAATATTTATCTGTTATGTATAAAGCAGACTAGATCACTGGAAAAAGCTGCAAAAACATTATCTTGTTTAATTTTGTGTGATGTCAAAAATAAGTATGTATTTACTAGGTGTTATACAATTGTGCTATGAATAATATAAAAAAATAATTATTTACCAAATAAATTTGAGCAACACCCCAAACTCGTAGACAACGCCTCAAAAACATTCTCCAAATCGGATTTTCCTGTCAAAACGGGTAATTTTATTGTATACGTACTCCCCTCATGCGTTATAACCATTTCATCGCCACGCAAAGCCCCCAATCTCGCCAGTATCGTTTCCGCTTTATGCGAAGTCCGCATTATTTCCGCTATCAATTTTTTGGCTACTCCAACCGGCGATTGATCTTCAACGGATGGTTTTAAAAGGGTGGCGTCAAAAAGTGGCCCTCCCAAACAAGTTTTATATAAATGAACGACTATAGGGGGAGGCGGAGGCGCTGAAGTATCCGCTTCCGGTGATTGGACATCTAAAGTACTCGAACTTATTGTTGTTGCTGTTGTCGGGGGCGTTGATGAAGTCACAGGCGCTGATTGTTGGGGCGGAGTGGGTTGCGGGGTTGATTTTAATTTAAATCTGATTAAAACATAATTTTAAATCGTCTTTATTTAATTTTGTGTGTTATTTACTTACCGACTGGCTGTGCTACTATTTTTTTGCCCCGGTGGTTGCATGGGATGTCCCGATTTAGCACACCACCCAACAGGAAAAATATCCCGGCTGTCGTACCGACACCAATAATCAAAAGCCCCCCTCCAACCATCAAAAGTAACATGAATCTGGTCGTTTTTAACAGCCCCCACGGTCGCTGTACAAATTAGTTGCGGATTCTTTTTATCAACAGCCTCTAATTTTTGACCGACTTGAAACATATTGTTTTTGGGTCCGACGGGTTCTTTTTGAAATACCTTTGGCGGTGACATTTGCGCCCCATTTAACGTTTTTAATAGAAACATAGGCCAAGAACTGGCGTTCATTCGAAAACCAAGCGGAGGTTGTAACATCCCCCCCGATTTCTCACAATGTCCAATCGGATGGATCTCACTAGAATCGACCAACCTCCAAAAATCGTTTTTATTATCGCTGCCATCTAATCGGAGGCGTAATCTCGGCCCTAAAATGCTTATCACAGTTGCTATGCACGTTGAAGTTACATTTCGGGGATCTAACGCCTCCAATTTCATCCCCATTTTAAATTCGTTAATCGGCGGATTCGGAGCTTGTTTAAAACAGTTATTTGGGGCAGCTATCGAATTTGTTTCACGTAGGTACTCGTCCCAATCGAATGGTTGATAAGTTTCGTATTGAAACGGTCCCGGAGAACCTTGTGAACTTTCCATTGCAGTTGTAGGGGTCACAGCCAATATTTTTCCATTGCCATCATTACGTTTTTGATGTTTATTCATGCAATATATCGAACAATAATCTTTTGAGGGGTTATTACTACCCCTTATTACATTGTCACATTGTAAACAGGCCCCTTTTACGTACGCTTTACGAAATTCTGATAAACACGTTTCCGAACAAAATTCTTTCTTACCATTTTGAGTGGGAAGGACGTATTTTAACGGTAATTTTCCTTCGTTACACCACGTGCACGATATAATCTTTTTTGGGGGCCTACCAGGGCCTCTAACTTTGGCGGTACCATTCGTATTGTTAATTGACATTTTATGCTGTTGTTGTTTATGTCATCACTAAATTTCTTTAAAGATTTTTCAGCGGGAATTCCAAGAAAACCGTTTCATTTTGTCGTATTTTAATACGTTGATGTTGATTTTAACGTTTTTCGTTGCCGTAAAGGACGATTTTGTTGAATTTTTATGGATAATTGACGTTTGTTTTGACACAATCATCAAAATAAGCCAAGCCGCTTACTAAGAGCTTCACAAACAGGGACAAAAATTTATCGTTGGTAACTTTTAAAACAAAATGTTACCAAGATTTTAGGCGGGATAAATTTCTACTTTATCGATTTAAAACTAAAGTCATTGATTTATTATTAATAACAACACACAATTTAATTAATATATTTCTTTTAACTACATAACAAATTAAAATAAATAATGATAATTACTATACTCTATTTTTTAATTTGTTAGTTCTAGTTTTACACTAGCACTGTCACTAGAACTAACACAAGACCTAGAACTAAAATAATTCGGGTTTCGCCGTCTTGAGAGACGTGCGACTAAACCCGATATTTTCTAGTTCTAGTTTTACACTATCACTAGAACTAACACAAGACCTAGAACTAGAATCATTCGGATTTAGCCGTCTTAACAGACGTGTGTTCTCGGTCTAGTGTTAGCTTTAGTGCCAGTGGTAGATAGCTCTAGTTAGCTTATGATATTACTATGTTGTATATTTTTAGTGAACAAAAACTAGAACTAACACTAGACCTAGAACTATTCGGATTTAGCCGTCTTGAGAGACGTACGGCTAAACCCGAATGTTTCTAATTCTAAGTCTTGTGTTAGTTCTAGTTGTAGTACTAATGTAAAATTAGAACTAACACTAGACCGAGAACTAGAAACATTCGGGTTTAGCCGTCTTGAGAGACGTGCGGCTAAACCCGAATGATTCTAGTTCTAGGTCTAGTGTTAGTTCTAGTTTTTCTTCAATAAAAATATAGTAGTGCAACATAATAATAGCTTATGCTAACTCACTAGTACTACCACTAGAACTAGCACAAGACTTAGAACTAGAAACATTCGGACTTAGCCGTACGTCTCTCAAGACGGCTAAACCCGAATGATTCTAGTTCTAAGTCTTGTGTTAGTTCTAGTGGTAGTACTAGTGTAAAATTAGAACTAACACTAGACCGAAAACTAGAAACATTTGAGTTTAGCCGTCTGGAGAGACGTGCGGCTAAACCCGAATGATTCTAGTTCTAGGTCTTGTGTTAGTTCTAGTGATAGTGCCAGTATAAAACTAGAACTAAGAACCCGAATGATTCTAGTTCTAGGTATTGTGTTAGTTCTAGTGATAGTGCCAGTGTAAAACTAGAACTAAGACTAGACCTAGAACTAGACTCATTCGGGTTTAGCCGTCTTGAGAGACGCACGGCTAAACCCAAATGTTTCTAGTTCTCGGTTTAGTGTTAGTTCTAGTACCAGTAGTAGGTAGCGCTAGTTAGCATAAGATATTACTACGTCGTATATTTTTATTGAAGAAAAACTAGAACTAACACTAGACCTAGAAACATTCTGGTTGTAGGTCTAGTGTTAGTTCTAGTTTTACTCTGACACTATCACTAAAATTAACACAAGATCTAGAACTAGAATCATTCGGGTTTAGCCGCACGTCTCTCAAGACGGCTAAACCCGAATGTTTCTAGTTCTCGGTCTAGTGTTAGTTCTAATATTCAGTGGCGTAACTACGGGGTCGCAAAAGGACGCATTGCGTCGGGGCCCGTCGATCCTGAGGGCCCTTGGGCTCTCAACGATTTTGAAAAAATTTAAAGACTTTAATTAGAATTACAAAAACTGTTGTTAAAAGTATACATTAATAAAATTTGTCTTTAAAACTTTTTAAAATTCCCAAGAACGGGTAAAAAACTGCTGAGGGAATGAAAAATAAAATTCTGTCTATATTAGACGAAATGAAGATACCAGTTGAAAAATGTATTGGTCAAGGATACGACGGAGCAAATGTAATGAGTGGTATATACAATGGTCTGCAACAAAAAATAAAGAACATTCAACAAAATGCAGAGTACGTTCATTGTGCAAGCCATAATTTAAATCTTGTCATAATGATTAAGGTTAAAGATGCAATAGAGAAAAATAAAGATGTGTCCGCATTTTTCGTTACACTCCAAGAAATATATTCATTTTTTGGAAATTCTATTAACAGATGGGATTTGCTTTCAAAGTTCACAGGCGAATCAAATGTAACTTTAAAAAAATTAAATCCTACTCGATGGTCTGGAAGATTGACTTCTCTACTAGCTGTGAAACTACGTTATTTAGATATTATAAAATCTTTAACACACTTGATGTTGACAGAGAAAAAAGAAATTCGTGATGAAGCTCAAAACATAAAAGATAGAATGGAAAAATTTGAGTTTATTTTTATGTGCGTCTTTTTGCATAAAATTCTAGCAGA